GACTACAAGATATATGTGTATATAGATCTTGTGACTACATCCTATGAAATACGTTTCCACATGCCCTGTTTAAATCAGGGTTTCTCAACTCTGCAGTATTGACATTTTGGGTCCTGATTACTCTTTTTTGTTTTTGGCAAGGGGGCGGGGTGTCCTCAGCATTGTAGAGTGTTTAGAAACATCCCTGGCCTGACCCAGTAGATGTTAGTAGCACCTCTCCCCAGATAGTGACAACCAATGATATCTCTGGACCTTGCCAAATGTCTTCTTGGGGTTAAAAAACATAACCCCGTTGAAGAATCACAGGGTTAGGTGAAAGTGCATAAACCGTACACACATACTATATGCATAAAACCTATGAGACCTCTTCTGAACTTTTTTAGTATATTACTGTAGTAGATAACATTTCAATGTGTGCCAGGTACTAATTTGAGTGTTTCATATACCTTGTCTCATGCAATGGTAACAACAACTTTATGAAACTGGTACTATGTCCCTATTCTACAGAGGTGTAACCTGAGGCTCAGAGAAAGAGTAACTGGCTCAGGATTACACAGGTAGTAGTGGCAGAGCTGGAACTGAAATCCAGGCAATCTGAATCCAGAACCAACACTCTGTATCTCTTTACTAAACAAACCTTTTTTTTTTTGAGACAGAGTCTCACTCTGTTGCCCAGGCTGGAGTGCAGTGGTGTGATCTTGGCTCCCTACGATCTCGGCTCACTGCAAACCTCGGCTTCCTGGGTTCAAGTGATTTTCCTGCCTCAGTCTCCCAAGTAGCTGGAGCTACAGGCACGCAGCACCGTGCCCAGCTGATTTTTGTATTTTTTTTAGAGATGGAGTTTCACCATGTTGGTCAGGCTTATCTCGAACTCCTGACCTCATGATCTGCCCGCCTCGTCCTCCTAAAGTGCTGGGATTACAGGTGTAAGCCACCGCGCCTGGCCCCAAGCATCTTCTTAATGTATGACAACACACACTGTGTGTGCATTTTTATGAGAGCATCATTTAGGTAGCAAGTCTGCATTATCATGCTAATCCCATTTTGAGTGTCAGAAAGAAGACAAATAAATCTTTTTTTTTTTTTTGAGACAGTGTTGCTCTGTCGCCCAGGCTGGAGTGCAATGGCACGATCTTGGCTCGCTGCAACTTCCGCCTCCTAGGTTCAAGTGATTATCCTGCCTCAGCCTCCCGAGTAATTGGGATTACAGGCACCTGCCACCATGCCTGGCTAATTTTTGTATTTTTAGTAGAGATGGGGTTTTGCCTTGTTGGTCAGGCTGGTCTCGAACTCCTGACTTTAGGTGATCTGTCCTCCTCGGTCTCCCAAAGTGCTGGGATTATAGGCGTGAGCCACTGCGCCCAGCCTGACAAATCTTCTTTATGGTAGATACCAGTAACAGATAACTAGAACTGTTAGCCAGAGTTGGGCAGGTTGGGAATGTTACAGCTCTTTGTGGCTGCCAAGGATTAAACCTGTACCCAACTTTTCCCTATTTTCTGGTATCTCCAGTTTATGCATCCTTCCAACTCATATGAAGCACCTGCTATGTGTCTAAAACCTGTACTAAGTCCCAGGGGATGTGTGTGTGTGTGTGTGTGTGTGTGTGTGTGTGTGTGTGTGTATATATATATATATACTGAGATGAATAAGATAGTCCTTGTCTTAAAAGGAGCTTATGAGTTCAGGAACACGTAGACGTGAAAACAGGCCGGGCACGGTGGCTCTTGCCTGTAATCCCAGCACTTTGGGAGGCTGAGATGGGAGGATCACTTGAGGTCAGGGGTTCAAGACCAGCCTGGCCAACATGGTGAAATCCCAACTCTACTAAAAAAAAGTACAAAACCTTGTATTCCCAGCACTTTGGAAGGCCAAGGTGGGCGGATCACGAGGTCAGCATATCGAGACCATCCTGGGTAACACAGTGAAACCCCATCTTTACTAAAAGTGCAAAAAATTAGCTGGGCGAGGTGGCGGGCACCTATAGTCCCAGCTACTCAGGAGGCTGAGGCAGGAGAATGATGTGAACCTGGAACATAGAGCTTGCAGTGAGCCGAAATCGAGCCACTGCACTCCAGCCTCGGAGACAGAGCAAGACTCTGTCTCAAAAAAAACCAAACTTAGCCGGGCATGGTGGTGCACGCCTGCAGTCCCAGCTACATGTGAGGCTGAGGGAGGAGAATTGCTTCAACCTGGGAAGCAAAGGCTTCAGTGAGCCAAGATTGCTCCACTGCCCTCCAGCCTGGTCATCAGAGCAAGACTCTGTCTCAAGAAAAAAAAATGAAAGCAGTTACTGTGTAATGGGGTAAGTGCTCTGCTGAAGATTTGGAGAAGAGGCAATGGGAGTGAAAAAAAAAAAAGTCCCACACTCTACCTGGAAAAAGAAAAGAAAAGGCTCCCCAGAGGAGCTAAAACTGAGGTTATGATGTCAAAGTGAATGGAAATTTATCTAACAGATAAAGCAGGGAAAGGTGTTCCAGTCAGTGAGCACAGCAGGTACCAAGGCCTAGAGGTATGAGAAATGACAGCATTTCCTGCCTTGGGAAGTGGCTAGAGCAGAACAGTCTTCTGTAGTTGAAGGAATAAGCAGACTGCTTGTGGGAACATTTCCCACATGTTGGTTAGCGGGACTACGTGGAGGACAGTGTCCTCCATAAGGATTAAAGTTCCCCCTTCAGGCCCCAAAAGCATTTTTCATCTCCACTAAGCCCTCACACAAAATGTATTGACCACTTTTACAAGTGTGTAAGTAAATTTCTCCTTCTATCATAAACATTGGCCTTGGCATAGGAACGTAAGTAAAACTGAAAATACGAATGAACCTTGACATTTTTAGTTTCAAATATTGCCCCCAAATTGAGCAAATTTCCACTTACTGTCATTGCATGGTGGTATCCTCAGCAGATGGTTGCAGGACTCCCTGCAGATACCAAAATCTGTGGATGCTCAAGTTCCTGATATTCAATAGTGTAGCATTTGTTTATAACCTATGCACACCCTCCTATATGCTTTAACCCATTTCCCGTTTAGAAAAAAAAAGTACTTGGCCAGGCACGGTGGCTCATGCTTGTAATCCCAGCACTTTGGGAGGCTGAGGCAGGTGGATCACTTAAGGTCAGGAGTTCAAGACCAGCCTGGCCTACATTGTGAAAACCCCTCTCTACTAAAAATACAAAAAACTAGCTGGATGTGGTGGCAAGCCCTGTAGTCTCAACTACTCAGGAGGCTGAGGCGAGAGAACTGCTTGAACCTGGGAGGTGGTTGCAGTGAGCCGAGATCACGCCACTGCACTCTAGCCTGGGCGACAGAGCGAGACTTTGTCTAAAAAAAAAAAAAAAAAAAAGAAAGCAAAATATGTGCAGCACGCTGCCAGCACAGTATTCTCAGGGCAAGCAGGATATGAGTTAAGTAATCCCTAGATTACTTATAATACTGGCCGGACATGATGGCTCACGCCTGTAATCCCAGCACTTAGGGAGGCTGAGGTGGGTGGATCACGAGGTCAGGAGATCGAGACCATTCTGGTCAACATAGTGAAATTCTGTCTCCACTAAAAATACAAAAATTAGCCGGGCGTGGTGGCGCACACCTGTAATCCCAGCTACTTGGGAGACTGAGGCAGGAGAATCGCTTGAACCTGGGAGGCGGAGTTTGCAGTGAGCCAAGATCATGCCACTGCACTATAGCCTGGTGACAGAGGGAGACACCATATCAACAAATATATATATTTAATATATATTATATGTATCAAATTATACTCATATCAAAATATATAAATATATACATACATATATATGTATACCTAAAACAGTGTATTATGTAAATAGTTATTAGCCTGTATTTTTTGTTTGCATTTTTTGTTGTATTGTTATTTTATTGGGTTTTTTTGTTTGTTTGTTTTTGAGATGGAGTCTCGCTGTATAACCCAGGCTGGAATGTGGAGTGCAGTGGTGCGATCTTGGCTCACTGCAACCTCCACTTCCCGGGTTCAAGTGATTCTCATGTCCCAGCCTCCCGAGTATCTGGGATTACAGGTGTGCACCACCACACCCAGCTAATTTTTTGTGTGTGTATTTTTAGTAGAGACGGGGTTTCACAATGTTGACAGGTTGGTCTCGAACTCTCAACCTCAGGTGATCTGCCTGCATTGGCATCCCAAAGTTCTGGGCATTACAGGTGTCAGCCACTGCGCCTGTACTGTGTGTGTGTGTTTTGTTTTACTTAGAGTATTTTCTATTGTGGTTGGCCGAATCTGCAGATGTGGAACTCACAAATACAGAGGGCTGACTATACATGAGAAACACATTATATTCAGGATTTACCACTTAAGAGTCCTTCCTCTAGGTGCTTATAGAGGTTGCGTATCCCTTATCCCAAATGTTTGGAACCAGAACTAGTTCAGATTTTGGATTTTGGTATATCTGCATATGTATAATGAGATATCTTGGGGTTGGGACCCAAGTCTGAACATGAAATTCACTTATGTTTCATATACATTGTATACATATAGACTGAGGGTAATTTTATACAATATTTTAAATAATTTTGTGCATGAAACAAAGTTTGTGTTATGTACTTACGTGTGGAATTTTTCACTGTGGCATCGTGTGGGGGCTCAAAAAGTTTTGGATTTTGCATCACTTTGAGTTTTGGATAGTTGGATTAGGGATGCTCAACCTGTGCAGTTTTTTGAGTCCTGGCCGGGCACTGTGGCTCACGCCTGTAATTCCAGCACTTTGGGAGGCCAAGGTAGGTGAATCACCTGAGGTCAGGAGTTTGATACCAACCTGACCAACATGGCGAAACCCCATCTCTACTAAAAATACAAAAATTAACCAGGTATGGTGGTGCCTGGTACCACCTGTAGTACCAGCTACTTGGGAGGCTGAGGTAGGAGAATCACTTGAACCCGGGAGGCAGAGGTAGCAGTGAGCCAAATTCATGCCACTACACTCCAGCCTGGGCAACAGAGTGAGACTCTCAAAAATTAAAAAAAAAAGTTTCTAATTTTGGAGCATTTCAGATTTCAGATATTTGGACGGGGGATGCTCAAACTATATAGTTATGGAGTCCTTTTGGCCCCACGAAATTGACTCCTCTAAACTCAGAGGCTGTCTTACCAACCTGTTTTGTACTCTCCTGATTTTTAGTAAGCTTTTTAACTGTAGAAATCACATCAAAAGCTTAAAAATTTTCATGAAGAAACTAGAATTTGCTTTCATTATTTTGTTTTTTTCCCCATCTTTTTATTTCAAGCTTATAGAAAAGTCGAAAGAACAATAATCTCCCGTTATACCTTTCATCTAGACTCACTATTAACGTCTGGCCATGTTTGGTTTTCTCTATACACAGGTGTATATAGGTATGCATCTGTATACGTGTGCATGTATGTGTGTTGTGTCTGTCTTTTTTTTTTTCTGAACCGTTTGAAAGTAAGTTTGGGGAACAGTTACCAGGCTGCTGCAGTGATCTGTAAGTGGAAATGATAGTGTTTTGTGGTGTGAGGGTGTCATCGTAAGTGCTAGGAGGAGGCGAGTACAGGACATCTTAGGAGCACACAGGAGAGACTCCTAATGAGTCTTTTCTGACTTCCAGAAGAGGCTTCATGAAGACAGTGACTGGTAAACTACAACCCAAAGGACTGTTTGGAATTAGCCAGGCAGCTGGTGGAACACAGCATTGCAAAGGAGGAGAACATGGGTTTGAGGAAACTGCATGTAGATATGCGTGTCCAGATCATCCCAGGTTGAGGAGAAAAAATGGGGAGTTGCTGCAAAAAGGAATGAGTTTTTTTTTTTTTTTTTTTTTCCTGAGATGGAGTCTGGCTTTGTCAACCAGGTTGGACTGCAGTGACACAATCTCAGCTCACTGCAACCTCCGCTTCCCAGGTTCAAGCAATTCTCCTACCTCAGCCTCCCGAGTAGCCGGGATTACAGGCGCCCAACACCATGCCCAGCTTATTTTTGGTTTTTTAGTAGAGATGGGGTTTCGCTATGTTGGCCAGGCTGGTCCCCAACTCCTGACCTCAAGTGATCTGCCCATCTCAGCCTCCCTAAGTGAAGAGATTACAGGCCCGTGCCACTGTGCCTGATGGGAGTAGACCTTAGAGGGCCTTTTAAGCCAGGCTTAGGAATTGAGAGTTTATTTTAAGGGCAATGAGGAGCCGTTGAAAGAGTTGTTTGTTTGTTTTTTGAGGTGGAGTTTTGCTCTTGTTGCCCAGGCTGGAGTGCAATGGCACGATCTTGGCTCACTGCAACCTCCGCCTCCCGGATTCAAGCGATTCTCCTGCCTCAACCTCCAGAGTAGAGGGGATTACAGGCATGTGCCACCATGCCCAGCCAATTTTGTGTTTCTAGTAGAGATGGGGTTTCTCCATATTGGTCAGGCTGGTCTCGAACTCCCAACCCCAGGTGATCCACCCACCTCGGCCTCCCAAAGTGGTGGGATTACCGGCATGAGCTACTGTGCCTGGCCCAGATTTGCAATTTTGAAAGAATACTCTGACTGGAGGGTGAAGAAAAAATTGGAGAGAGGTCTGAGAAGAGGCAAGGGGGCCAGTTAGGATCCATGGGCAAGATGGTGGCAGTGAGAATGCAAAGAGGTAGATGAGATTTTCAGGAGGAAGACTTGACAGCACAGAACTATATGGGGCGTGGTGAGGTAGAGACTGCGGAAAGTTACCAGGTGTGGTGGTTCATGCCTGTAATCCCAGCACTTTGGGAGGCCAAGGCGGGTAGATCACGAGGTCAGGAGATTGAGACCATCCTGGCTAACACAGTGAAACCCCGTCTCTACTAAAAATACAAAAAATTAGCTGGGCGTGGTGGCGGGCACCTGTAGTCCCAGCTACTCGGGAGGCTGAGGCAGGAGAATGGTGTAAACCCGGGAGGCGGAGCTCACAGTGAGCTGAGATTGTGCCACTGCACTCCAGCTTGGGTGACAGAGCAAGACTCCGTCTCTAAAAAAAAAAGAAATTGCGAAAAGTCAGGGCGAGTCCCAGCTTTCTAGCTTGGGCAGCCGAGTGGGCGATGGAGCCCTTGACCTAGTAGCCAGGGAGGGAGGAGACCTGAAGTCAGTTGTGGTTGTGATTCGAAGTGCCTGTTGGAGATGGGTTAGAGATGTCTGGCTGGCCCCTCTGACTCCAGGATGGAGGCCTGCGTGGGAGGCAGTGCAGGCACGTCACGCCCTGTGCCTTCTTCCCACACAGCCTCGGCCTCACCATGTGTGTAAGGAGCTGTTTCCAGTCCTCCTGTCTCCAGTGGGCGTGGAGGACAGCCTTCCTGAAACACATCCAGCGCAGGCACCAGGGGTCCCACCGATGGACGCACCTTGGAGGCAGCACCTATAGAGCAGTGATTTTCGACATGGGCGGAGTTCTCATTCCTTCTCCCGGGAGAGTCGCTGCGGGTGAGCTATTCATTCTGTTTCACTTTGGGGGACTAGGGTGGCGGTGGGAGAATGGAGGGTGATCAGGAAGGCAGAGGGGAACACTTGGGCCGCAGTGTGTCCTAGCAGGCCATGCTCTGGCTCTCGAGTCAAATTCCAAGCACCACTAGGGGGCTGAGTGTCTTGGGCACATGGTTTAGCTTCTCCAGATCTTACTTTCCTCATCATTAAATGAGAGCTAATGGTAGTGCCTTCCTCCTTGGGATCTAGCACAGTGATTGCTCAGTGCATCCTAAATTCTCAATCAATGATAAGCTGCCATGAGTACTGTGATTAGAATTTAACCACCAAGGCAGGGCACAGTAACTGAGGCCTGTAATCCCAGCACTTTGGGAGACCGAGGTGGAAGGGTCGTTTGAGCCCAGGAGTTCAAGACCAGCCTGAGCAACATAATGAGACCCCATATCTGCAGAAATTTAAAAATTATCTGGGCACGTTGACATGCACCTGTAGTTCTAGCTACTTAGGAGGCTGAGGTGGGGGGATCACATGAGTCCAGGTGGTTGAGGCTGTAGTCAGCCATGATCATGCCACTGCACTCCAGCCTGTGTAACAGAGGAAGACCCTTACTCAAAAACAAACAAAAAACCCAAAGAATTTAACTACTTTTTCTTGGGAACTGTGCTGCTTCTGAAATCTAGAATGCTGAAAGTCCCCTTTTGATTACAGCCTTCCTCTGTTCTACCCCACTCCCTCTAAACCTGCTTCTGGACTGACAGGGTAAGAGTCAGCCCTCTGGTATCTGGTCTTCTCTTTACCTGCCCCTTCCTGGTTTTACTTCTTTTCTACTCAGTTCAGCTTTTATTAGTTAGAGTCGTTTTGGCTTCAGGCAGTAGAAAACCTAAAAAAAATAGTGACTGAAACAAGCTAGAAGTTTCTCTTGCACATAAAAGCCCAGGTATGTGGTCTGGGGCACTGTGTGATGTGACTCTGTGGTATCAGGGACTCCAGCTCTTTCTAGCATGTTGCTCTACTGTGACTTTTCGTTTCCACTCTCACCTCGTGGTCTGTCTTGGCTGTCTCACCTGCTGCTATCACATTCTCATGCCAGCCAGCAAGAAGGACAAAGGGGCAGACAGACAGCCATCCCTCTCCTTTTGAGCTTCTGCGGTGGCCGGCTGGCCAGTTCTCCATCCTGAATCAACCCAGGCACAGGTTTTCTATGCCTGCATGTCTAGGCTTTCCAGCACTGCTGGCCAAATTACTCAGCCATGCAAACTGGCTGCACAAGCTAGTTTTGAGCTCCAGCCTCAGGTGGGCCCTTGGTGCTACACCTGAGCCTCTCTGTTCCTTCACTCATATCTCTGTCATGTTTACCTCAGGGGCTGTTCCAGACTGTCTGCTCCCCCTGCTCCTTACCACCCCCAAATATTCTTGTTCTGCAGACAGCTGAATCTATTGTTTTATAAAGAACGTAAAGACCAAGCCTGAGCAACACAGTGAGACCCCATCTTGAGCTAGGATTGCAGCGCTGCATCCCAGACTGGGCAACAGGCTTTTTTAGAGAACCTGTCTCTAAAAAAAAAGGCAGTGGGGAAGAACATAAAGATCAGTGAACAGAAAGTTTCTTGACTTTCTCCAGAATATCTTAAGAACCAATTCACTTCTCTCCATTCCCACTGCCTCCACCCTTGCCTTCTCTCACCCAAATGATGTCATCAGCCTCCTAACTCTTTCCCTGCCTCTGGCTCTCTGGATTTTACAAAATCTCCTCCCAGCTCCAGAATTACCTTTCTAAAACATAGATCTTGCTTCTGCGCTTAGCGGCTCACACCTGTAATCTCAGCACTTCAGGAGGCCAAGGTGGGCAGATCACTTGAGCACAGGAGTTCACGACCAGCCTGGCCAACCTGGTGAAACCTCATCTCTACGAAAAATACAAAAAACTTACCTGGGTGTGGTGGTGCATGGATGTAGTCCCAGCTACTTGAGGGGCTGTGGTAGGAGGATCACTTTAGCCCAGGCGGTTGAGGCTTCAGTGAGCTGAGATTGCACCACTGCACTCCAGCCTGGGTGACAAAATGAGACCCTGTCACAAAATAATAAATAAAATAAAAATAAAGCATAGATCTTGTTCCTTTCATCCCTGGCTTGAAAACCTTGAATGCCTGCGTGTAGTCCCCTAGATTAAGTCTGGAAGCTTTCGCCTGGGATTCAGGGCTCCTCTCAGTTCTAGCTTTCCTGCTATGGACTACCTGATGCTCCCCAGGCATGCCAGGCGCATTTGCATGTTTGTGCCTTTGCAAGCTCTGTTTCCTCCCTGTCTCCTCTGCCTGTTCAAATCCTACTGATGCTTTTAATGACAAATTTAAGGGGATATTATTCAGCAATGACTGGAATCTTTTGAACACTCAATAAATCTCATGGTTGTTACTAACTTCAAGAGTCCTTTTCTGTCAAGACTTCTCCAACCTCATTTGCAACCTGGGCAGAATGTTCCTGGATAGCCAATTCCCATGCAAGTTTCACCTTCACCGAGACATTTTAGTTTGCAGTGGGATGTGTTCATGTCTCCTCTATGGGGCTCTTGGATTCCAGGACCCCAGATCTGGGATTTCTTCACTTCACTGTTGCAGTGTTAGCTCTGCAGGCTGTCTCAGTCATTCAGGAAATATTTGATGGGTAGGTGTGTGAAAAAAATAGTGATGCCTTATACTTTGTCTTTTGCTTGACTGGAGCTTCTAATGTTTATTTCAAATGAACCATATCAAGGGTCATTTGATAAGAATATGCTAGAATTGGCAAGGTGCGGTGGCTCACGCCTGTAATCTCAGCACTTTGGGAGGACGAGAGATGGGTGGATCACTTGAGGTCATGAGTTTGAGACCAGCCTGGCCAACATGGCGAAACCCTGTCTGTACTAAAAATACAAAAATAAGCCAGGCATGGTGGTGGGCACCTGTAATCACAGCTACTCTGGAGGCTGAGCAGGGAGAATCACTTGAACCCAGGAAACAGAGGTTGCAGTGAGGTGAGATCACACCATTGCACTACAGCTTGGGAGACAGAGCAAGACTGTCACTGCAGTCTGAAACTCCTGGGCTCAAACAGTCCTGCCTCAGGCTCCCAAGTAGCTGGACTACAGGTGTTAGCCACTGTGCCTAATTTTTGTTTGTTATAGAGATGGGGTCTTGCTATGTTGCTCAAGCTAGTCTCAAACTCCTGGGCTCAAGTGATCCTCCTGCCTTGGCCTCTTGAGTCATTGGAAATACAGGCGTGAGCTACCATGTCTCACCTGCTGTCTGTTTTTGTATGGCCTGTCAGCCAAGAATGACTTTTATGTTTTGAAATACTAATTGAAAAATATCAAAACAAGAATAATATTTTGTGACATGTGAAAATTATGTGAAATTCATATTTCAATGTCCATAAAAATGAAATTTTTTTAGAAAACTATCTTGCCCATTTGTTTACATATTGTCCATGACTGCTTTTGCCCTGCACTGGCAGAGTTGAGTAATTTCAACAGGGTCCCTAATGCCTTCAAAGCCTAAAATATTTATCATCTGGCCCTTTTCAGAAAAGCTTGATTTAAGCTATTAGTTTACTATAAAATTAGTACACACAACAAAGAATTCAAAGTACAGCCCAAACATTTTAGTTTTTTATTTTTTATTTTACCTTATTTTTCTCCAAAAATGCATTTTCATACCAAAGCTCAAACACTTTAAGATTGAATTTAGGCCGGGCATGGTGACTCACGCTTGTAATCCCAGCATTTTGGGAGGCCAAGGTGGGTGGATCACGAGGTCAGGAGATTGAAACCATCCTGGCTAACATGGTGAAACCCTGTCTCTACTAAAAATACAAAAAATTAGCTGGGTGTGGTGGCAGGCGCCTGTGGTCCCAGCTACTTGGGAGGCTGAGGCAGGAGAATGACATGAACCCGGGAGGTGGAGCTTGCAGTGAGCTATTTTAGTAGAGACAGGGTTTCCGCCAATGTTGACAAGTGGTCTCTTTTTTTTTTTTTTTTTTTGAGACAGAGTCTTGCTCTGTTGCCCAGGTTGAGTGCAGTGATGCCATCTCGGCTCACTGCAAGCTCCGCCTCCTGGTTCACACCATTCTCTTGCTTAACCTCCTGAGTAGCTGGGACTACAGGCCCCTGCCACCATGCCCTGCTAATTTTTTGTATTTTTAGTAGAGACGGGTTTTTTCACTGTGTTAGCCAGG